ATACTAGCAATGACAGAGTGAAAATCTTATAGAGTGAAAAAGTATTAATACCTTTTCAGACGCGTAGCGTGGACGTTTTGGATAGTACGCATATGTCAGGGACCGCGACACATACATGTATTTTGGATCTGGGGGTCTAAACGACCGCCAAAGGCGGGAATATCAAGAAAGTCTGGACCTCCCCCAGGAAATTTTGAAATAATAACTCTGCGTTTTGAGAGACATCGAGGGCATATAAAAGGGATCAATTTTGTGTAAAATCTCAGTATTTTTGTGAAAATTTTAATATTTCCATGCCACTGGTACGCACGTGCRTATATGTGCGTAAAGGACGCTACGCGCCTGCTTTTTGGTTAAAACCAAATACTACTAAACAGATGAATAGTGCAGATTAGAAAATAAAGAATAATTTGCAATTTAGCAGTGGATTTGTAACCCTAAGTAATACTTACATCAAGGTAGTTTGCATTAATGTAGTCTGATCCAACAATATTGGGATCACGGCCTTTCAGGATCACTCTGCTGTGATCAACTAGAATCATATGATGTGAATATGAAATTAGGACCATACAATAAATGTGCAAACACAAGACACTGACTAGATTAAATAGACTAGAAGAATCAATAAAGTATCAATAAACACTTTTAGCGATCTCTTTTACGCTGTGTTAGCCTTAAAACCATGTAATAAATTCTTTTATTCACAACAGCCCGTGCAAATGTAAGAGATTCTTGAGTATACATTAGGAGACAATGGGAATAGCTTGAAATCTCACGAGTTTTATCTACATTTCTGAATATCGTAGCACACAATCGAGGTTAACACACCGTAAAAGAGATCGCGAAACTATTGCCTAGCTTAACTGTATCATTATGACATTACATCAAAATATTCTATAATTGTTTTCACGCTAAGGATTAATTATCCCCCTCCACTGTCATTCATCACTAAGATTCATGGGCTGCCTGTCTTTTTTGCTGACGAAAGATAAAGGAAGCAGGAGAGGGGAGCTTTTGTTCAATATGACTGTTTACAAAGGAAGCACGTAGGAGGAAAAAAKAGTTGCCTGGAAGGAGGCCTTTTTGAATATCATTTTATGATTGGCAATCTAATCTAAWCAATACTAATCATTACTACAATATTATCTGACTTAAGTAACAATGCGCGCAAAAAGCAGGCAACCTTCTATTGTTCTRCGGCAATTGCAACTTCCCCACATACGAATGTCTTGGTTTTCACACTGATTATATATCAACCTATGGGTAACACATTTTTAAAATAAAATGTGGATAAACTCTGTTTTGAAACAAAGTTTCTTTTGTATTAAAAGATCTTGTCCAATCATAAGCACTCAAAACAATAGCCAAAAGATGCTTCTAATTTGCTATGTTCCCCACATAGAATTCCTATTAATAATAAAGCTAAGGAAAGCTTTTATGAAGTCGAAATCAGATATTAAATAAAATATTAAAAAATGCGATTACTTTTGAAATTATGTCAAATTTTAATGTTTTAACCAATGAGATGGATGGATTATACAATACACAATTACATGTAGCACCTTCATGCATTCCATTGCCGTTTGCTTGCCTGCTTCTTACTCGGACCATTACTTAAATGTGAAATTATTTGTTTGCTCTCTCTTGTAAAATGCATTTTAGACTTTTCAATCAAGCATATCAAATATTATTAGACACTTACATGGCAGAATGTTTTTATATCTATTTTTGGATTTGTTTTCAGGTCTTTCTCCTTCCTTTCTGCTGTATAAGTGTTTGCATTCTTGTTTTTGAAGGACCTGGACGTGAGTACAATCAAGCCATTAATATCAATATCAACTCAAAAAACCAGGACAATACAGACATTGGAATTATCTATCTAAATATTGCATATTGGTGATTTGATAATTCTAAATTTTAGATAAAATAATTTATATTAAATAAAAACGGTTGACCTGACCTGCCAAACATTCGATCTAAATTCAATGGTTACGACTGAATTATGTAAAGGTGTTTGAACCAAGCCTAAGTGAATGCTACTGCTTAAAAGAGCATGGATCAAGAGCTGCTGGGAATTGCCCTAGTTCATTATGACGTCACATCAAAACATTCTATTGTTTTAACGCTAAGGATTACGGTTGCCAGAAGGGATCAGAGTGACTGCATATCAAATAAAATGTACATTAAACAATCATTTATACATGATATATATCAAAACACGATTCATTGAAGTTCTACTTTAGTCGACAATATAAATGGGTCCAACTTTCCACTGTTTTTGAGCATCGTTTTCCGATGTAAACATACTGTGACGTCATAATGAAATAGGGCAATTGATAGAATGTAGAATGACATACAAACTTACCTCAAATTCTTCATAAAAGCCTGCTTTTCCAGTGACATTCTTGTTTTCTTTCTGTAGTTCTTTGACTCTGTCCTCAATGCATGCTGCATTGATTCTTGTAGCATTGAATGGCTAATGATACAATTGATATAATTAGTAATTACATACCCTACTTCACAGCACTATAGGATGACTTGCCAAAAAATACAATACAGTATACACGTACTATATATAATTGTTGTCTGTATATATATATACATCGTATTTTGCAAATTTGTCACTGTAAAAAAACCTTGTGCAATACTAAGTTATTTCAGCCCCTCTCTCCTGTTGCCTTTGTATGGTGATGTAAGCACTGCACACAATCTACTGTCATGTGACAGTGTAGACATGTTTTACAGTAAGTACTCCACTCTTTATCATCTGTATGAATTGAAATCTACTGGACTTTGGCTAGTTTATAATTATACTGTCTGCTCATAACTGAGTTCTTGCTGGTATAAACATACTGCCATTGTTGATGAAATTACTGTAAGAATGAATTCCTAATACAGCGTAAATTATAATTATATTCTTCTGATTGAAGCTTACATTTCTTAGATGCACCACTGTGCCTGATTTCTCAACCATTGGATTCTTCTTGTAATGTTCAACAAGTTCTGTAAGATCTGCAAACTGTTCACCACCACCAACGTCATAGCGMCCSCCCTGGTTTCTAATCATGACATGTGTCACTTTGTCATCACATCTAAATGGAATTTGAACATTTATTAGTAATTTGTAACGCACTTCACTTTGCTGCGCTAATATAGTAAACTATTAAATGGTACTTGATATGAAACACTAGAGCTACATTGTAAATATCATATTCAATTATTTTTAATTTATTAATAAATTAATAATTCATACTTTCTCTTATATAATAAGTTGATTTTGATCTTGAAATTTTTTTTTTCTTCTAAATTTGCTGAGGCCAAATTGCATTYCTTCTCTTAATCATTGACAGTAATTCTCAGTAATTGTAATCAGAAAACGATTCTGAATACTCCATTTTCGAGGTCAAAGTGAAAAACCACTGCTTTATTTGACAGCAGATTCTCTTGCGCAAAGTCTTTATCAAACACAAAAGCGAGCATGAGAAATTAATGTCAYTATAACAATAGCTTTGAGAACTGGCATTTTTTCTGAGTTGAGACTAACCTGTCCCATAAGACCATTTGAAGATTTAGCCTTTTAGGAATTYAATAGATACTGCATCTACTGTAGCTGCTGTTMATATAACTCACCTTACAGTYARAACATARTTTCCAGGCTTGCCTTGACTTTCTCTGACAAGAAARCTGCCATTTTTACCCTTGTCAAGCAAAACAGTTTCTGCTTCTCGGCTGGACATGTGACCATGAAACCATCTAAATAAAATTAGCCATAAGTAGACTTAGTATTCATCAGCATTAGAAAAATGTAACACAAACTGGCAATTTGCATCGATATGACAAAAATTTAATATACCATCTACTGACAATACTTCGCCTTCATAAACTTTCTTTTTTAATATAGAGCTGGGAAGTGTGAGCTTTTGATGTCGAGAATTWTATTTTTAAATAATTATACAAATGTTTAGTCTCCTGTCATGGTTTAACCTGCGCCATGTTGAAAGGAAGCCGTGCCTTTATATTGAAGCAAGACAACCGTTGAGTATGCAGTGATAGATACCTGTGAATAATTGATTGTCTGTAGGTGTGTAAGGTTTCTATCATTGCATGTCCAACAGTCGTCTCACTTCGATGTAAAGGCACAGCTACCTTTAGACATGGCGCACTGGTAACTGTGAAGGAGACTATTGTGATCTTAGGTAAAATTTGAGCACCAAATATGGCATTATCAACACGGAATGGATTTACAATGGATGTATAGCGCTGTGYTCACATGCACGATGGATGGATAAAAATGAACAAATGAATAAAAGGATGAAAAGAAATGGCAAAAATGATCCAGTTTCCTGGTGTGCAATTTTGTATCTATTCTATAAATCAAATAAAATCAAAGCGTACCTTTCAGTGGTAGGATCAGCAGAGTTCAGAGGGAATTTCATTTCTATCAGCTGTCCATTCTTTTCTCTTAGTTGACCTGGGTTTTCCGTGTAATATTGGACCAGCTCTGATAGAGTAGCAAACTTCTCTCCACCATACAAGTCATAGTAGTCTCCACTGTTCTGTATTTTAATGTGTGTCACCTCACCATTTCTCCTGTTGGTATAATTGATATTATTGTGCTGATGATAATTAAACATTATTAGTATAAACATACTAATGGTCTATCACTCATACTGCGCTGTGATTGGCTACTCTACTAATGGTCTAATTTGTGATAGACCACTCATGGGAAAATCAAAATAAATAAATTATAAATTATTTTAAGGATATTTCAATTTGTTTTCATTATTTGACCGATTAGTAYGTTTATACTAAAACATTTAGACCTCTYGACCTCGTGGACTACAAGCTAATAGCCCATTCGGCCTCGCGGACTCGGCCTCATGAGCTATTAGCTCGTAGTCCACTCGACCTCGAGGTCTAATTGTTAAATAGATGGGTAGTTTATTATAAAAACCCTTGCAGCCGTACCAGCTGAATAACGGCATATAATATTTAGATTATCATATCAGGTATTTAYAGTAAAATATCATTTGATGATTAATCATTATAATTACGACAAATGTAGCAAAACCTAAGGCTCTCCCCCAGCCATTATTATTCTCTWTTTATTGGGTTTCCTGTGTTAAAAAACTGGGAGGCTCCYCTTATTTAAACCAGTGTTACAAAGGAAACCCAAGACAACAAATACTTGAGTTAGCTGTAGGGGAGGCTASATGMGCTGAACCAAGGTTTAGTGTAATGTTTAATTGAAGTGTGATCATATGGGCAGTAGTTTTACTTTAAATTTGTCTTGAACAAGAATATATATTAATGCTACAAAAAAAAAGATCATAATAATGTCAAAAACAAAACAAAACAGCAACAACAATCAGCAACAAAAAGGATTTTTGTTTTAAAATTTTCAGATTATTTAATCATGATTGGTTGCTGAGACAGAATGGCAGCAGTTGAGACAGCTTGGATCAATTGCTAGCCCACTAAGGTACAGAAATCCACTTAAATGTAGAATATTRTCAGGATCTAAAACTGGAAAGTGTTTCTGTTATGATTGTCAGGATTGTGAAAGTTTCTGGTGATTATCATATGAAAACCAGACATAAATTGATTATAATTGCTATAACCAATAGACCAAAGGATGGAAAGCTGAAATTATGCAATATTAACATTTGCCGTTACTCCATTTTATAGTTATCCAAAATTTAAAATTGAGAATATTTTTTAATTAACATTAGATCCTAAAATAGTKAGTCACTTGCCAAGTTAGACAATACTGTAGTTTGGAAAAAAGTCTGAGAACATGATAMACCCTTGCAAAGTAACAGCAAAATCCATCATAAAAGCAATCTATTTRGGATATTGTTGTTTTTTTTCTTCTCAAAATGGGGGCAAAGCTTACTCAAAGCAGCCAATAAGTAAAGAAGCTTATGGAAAATTGCATGCTAAGATTACAGGAATGAACAAAATCTAAACAATCTTCAAAACAAAGAAGTTGCAACAATTTAAGCTGTCCGAAATGTAACCAAGAAATGAAGTACATACTGTAAGACTGACCAGAACTCAAAAACAAATCATTGATATTCATGATGAAACATTTATGATGTATGATTTTCATTATTAAATTGTTTTTTGAATATAAAAAAATTGACTCGTCTTTAATTTTAATATTTGTTCATAATATAATGAAATGAAAAGAAAACTGTCAAAAACCACCAAGCAGATGTTTGGGTTAATAATATACATGGACCTTTATTCCAAAAATTTGTAATTTTGTCAAACTGAATATTATCATCAGCTGTCAATCACATTGAGGTAGTCTATTCATAGAGCTATTACAGTAAACGAACCCAGCCTTCACCACATGCAATGTACACTACTGTACAACCACAGAATGCTTTCCCAGCTCTATTGAAAATACAATTACCCTAATAATAATAATAATAATAATAAT